GAGCAGGAATGCCGACACCAGCACAGTTCCCTGGCTCTTCCCCGTGCTTCTGACAACACCCAGCCCAGCAGCACCGGGGCCCCGAGGCCACCACGAGGTCCCCGAGCTGTCACCAGTGATGATCACTGCCAGGGAACAGTCCTTGTGCCATTTCAGCCTCTCAGCAGTGAAATCTGGTGTGTCTCTCCCACACCCCAAAAAATTCCCCCAATTCTCATCCCACGAGCAGCTCTGGCCGAGACTGAGCATCTGCTATTGGCAATTGCCTCATTGTAGCTTTGCCTTTTTCTGTCCTAGTATTTCCTCACGATGATGATGTTTACATGTGATTGCTATAGAGCTTATGTAGAATGTATATAGCGACACATTTAGGGTGGGTAGTACTGTCCTGTGCTGTGCTGATGTTTTTCAGAAAACGATCAATCCAAAAGAAAACAACGACAACAACAACAAAAAAAGCCAACAAAAAAAAAAAAAAAAAAAAAAAAAAAAAAAAAAAAAAAAAAAAAAAAAAAAAAAAAAAAAAAAAAGGAAAAAAGGAAAAAAAAAAAAAAAAAAGTCAAGCAAATAAGTGGAATTCTTCCATCTCCCACTCAGCTGGGGGCACCCATGGCAGGGCCCTGATGGGGATGCATCAAGGGTGGTGGAGGGGAAGGGTGAGTGCAGAGCTGGGGGGGCTCCAGCCCACTCCAGGGGATCACTCAGCCACTTCCCAAGCACTGGTTTGGGCATACCCAGATCCGGAATTTCCCAGCGTTTCCCTGTGGCTGGGTGCCCTGGGTCAGCCCCAGCCCAGCTGCTGGGTCCCGAGGCCGGTGCTGGGGAAGGGGAGGGCTGGTCCTGCACAGAGCTCAGCAGCCCTGCAGCCCTGGGCTAGGAAGGGATGCAATAAGTGGTCTTCGTGGTGCCTGAAGCCTATAAGTGGGGTTGGGTTTTCTTTTTTTGCTTTGGGTTTTTTTTTTTTTTTTTTTTTTTTCCATTCACTTGGGATGGTTTTCCCTCCTCCCCAAAAAGATCTTTCTTTTCCAGGATTTATGCACTATGTTTAGAGCCCCTTGGGCTGTGTGCTGCCTGCCCTGGGGCTTCCCCCACCTTTTAGCACTGGGTGAAAAAGAAATTTCCATTTGATTTTTTTTTTTTTTTTTATTTTTTGTGGGGTTTTTTTTTTGTTTTTTTTTTTACTCTAAAGGTGTCTTTAGCTCACAGTGCTCGAGTCTGCAGGAAGGTGGGTCGGGCACAGGGGCAGGTGAGAGCTCCCTCCTGAGCTGCCTAAGGTTTGGATGCTGCCAGGGAAATGGGGCAGGAGCAAAGCAATGCCCAGGGAAGCCAGAGGTGCCCAGAGCTTTGCAGAAGCTGCCAAGGACTGGAGATCCCCCCTTTTACATCCCACCCAGCCTGTGGCATCCCCTTGAAAAGGGACCCCTCACACCTCAGCCCCCTGCAAGGGGCTGTGGGATGGGCAGGAGAAACTGGGAGCAAAAGGGTTTATTCTGGTAGGCAATAAGTCAGGAGGAGATTTATTTTTTTAAAACTGTGTTAAGTGTAGAACGTCCCCCAGCCGTTTCCTGCAGGTGCTGTGGGGAAATGCTGAATGTGAAGAGTTTCTGATAAAATGCCCCTTTGCTTGTTTTGCACAGGTTTGCCCCAGAAAAACTCTGTTCAGGGGAGGGCAGCAGGTTTCTGGCTGGAATCCAGCGTGTCCCTGAGGCTCCGCAGGGAGGAGCAAACATTTCTGAGTGTGTGGGCTGAATGCAGAGGACAATCCCAGGCTTTAAGGGTTGGATGCTGCCCCAAAGCAAAAGTTTCAATTCCTCTTGCACATCTTTCAGGAAGCAGCAGCTCAGTCACCATGTTACAGCCCCGAGTCTCATCTCAGCTCGGGGCCATGCAAATGAGTTTTGTAATTGCAGATCAACACGGTTTTCTCCTTTTTTTGGGGGGGAGTTTTTTTGTTTGTTTTTTTTTTTTCTTTCTGGAGATCTGCTGGATCCTGAGTCTAACCGGTGTTGGAGCTGAACCCATTCTGTTCTAAGTCCATCCCTGACAATCTCAAGCAATATAGAGCCAAATGCAGCCTTGGGGGTTCATTTTGGGGTTTCATTCCTCTTCCCTCGCCCTCCCCAGGGCCAGGGGCAGCAGCAGGAGTTGGGGAGGGAGTGTGTGAGTGCATGTGAGAAAGAGAGAGAACAGTTCCATTGATGCATTTCTTGAGAAAGGTGTAAGAATTTCACCTAAAAAGGGGCACATCTGCTTTGTTATTTATAAAAAAAAAAAAAAAGCTAAATTCTGTCTTTTTCTTCTTTTTTTTTTTTTTTTTTTTTTTAATTAAAAGGACACTGCTCATAATTATTAGGGGTCAATTCTGCCTCCCTTGCTCATGCTGAGTAAGTAGGACTTAACTCTGTAATTTTCTACTTGCAGAGTAAGTAAAAGCAGCAGAATTGATCCCTCTGTGATTAAGAATCAAGTTTTTAGTATTTTTTTTAATTGGTAGAGGTTTTTTTATATTTCACTTAATTTTCCCCCCGGTTCCTTTCTGTTGTGTCCTTATTTATGTAATATACTTTAACCTTAAGAGATGGCATGGATTCTTATGCCTTTCCTTTATTATTATTATTGTTATTATTTTTAAAAAAACAAAAGAGATTTATTTCTAGTGTGATTTAACTGTCTACCTTCTAAAATGAGAGAACGTTTTCTTGTATTTTTACATTGTCAGATTCTATAGTTTCATAGATAATTTAACCAAATCGCTCAATGTATTCTCTATAGCTATCCAGTGGGTATAAAAGTTCTATTTTAAATTGTGTAAATACTTCAGAACTGGCTTCTTTTTCCAGACTCCCCTGCCGTGGAGTTTCTTGTTTACATCAAAAAGACTGTAGAATCTCTACGCTCATGTACTGTAAATAGTGAAGTGATCTGCCTATAAATAAACGATAACATATATACTATAAAGTGGAAAGAACAAAAAAAAAAAAAGGAACAAGTTTGTGCTGCTCTACTTTAGTTTTTAGTGCAAGTCTGCTCGGGGTGAGGTGTTTTGCTCTGCCTGGCTGGCAGTGGGGCTGTGCCAGTGCCAAGGGGGTGGCAGAGCCTCCCAGGGATGCAGCTCCTGCCTGGGAATGTCCCTTTGTGTTGCTGTTTTAAGTGTGGCTTCTCCCAGTTTAACTCGTTCAGGACAAATCTGGGCTCTGCACTCTGGGCTTGGAGTTGTGCCACTGCCACAGGAGCCCTGGCTGAAGAAAGGATGGAGTGGGTGAAGAATGAAGCAGGGCACCCTCCTCAGATTTTCTGGAGTGGAGTAAGAGAGCAGGAAAAAAAACGTGGAAAAGACTCCAGGTGGTGATGCAGCTCGGGATGGCACCTGGAGAGCCCCTGGAAGCAGGAGAGCAGCCCTGGGAGCCAAACTGGGACATGGCTGTGGTGTCCTGGCTCAGGATGGCACCTGGAGAGCCTCTGGAAGCAGGAGAGCAGCCCTGGGAGCCAAACTGGGGCACAGCCATGTCCTGGTGCCCTGGTGTCCTGGTGTCCTGGTCCTTGTGACAGCTCAGACTCTGGAAGGGATGTTTGGCAGGCCCAGCATGGGCACAGCTGCCTGGGCACACAGGAGCCCCATCCATGCCCTGTGAGGGCTCACCAGGCTGGAGAGGTTGCACTGATTTTATCCAGACCGTGGCTCAGTGCTGGAGGATCCCAGCAGCCCGAAAGGAGCAGCTCTGCAAGGTGGATTTTGCTGATTTGCACCCATTTAGGCAGCAGATCTGTACCTGCCTGGCTCCAGCACAACTGTGGGAGCCCAGTGTGGGTCCCCCAGCCTAAACCAGCCTCCCACCCCAAACCCAGCCCCTCATCCCTGCCACTGCTGCACCCAGAGTGCAGAGCTGATGGGAAGCCCATTCCCTGCTGCTTCCCAAAACCAGCAGGCTTCAAGGCCATAAAGAGGAATGTTTTTCAGAGATCCATCAGGCACCGTGATGCCAGTAGTGCCCAGACAGATGAAAACATGAATTTGGAGGGGGAAAATGTGGGAATGCAGCTGGGACAGCCAGTGATGGGGTGGGCACATGTGGAGCAGAGGCACAGGAGTGGGTTCCCAGGAGGGAGAGAGGCTCACAAAGGAAGGGTGTGCAGGGAGGGCCAGACCCAGAGCTGATGTTTGTCCTCCCAGCCTGACCTGTGCCTCCAACACTGCATTCCCAGGCAGCCTCCTGGAAAATAAAGCACTGATGCTGTTTCTTGAGTACGATTGTTTATTGAGGATAATTCCTGCAAGCAGAGCTGGTGATGCCTTGTCTGAAGGGAGCTGTTGGTGAATGTTGACATCAATTCAACAGTTCAGTTGGTCCCTGTAATTACTTCCAGCCATTTGGGAAAAATCCCAGCTGGACTGTTTTTATTTTGGCATAACTTTATGATGAAACAACTCATTTTCACACAGACAGGCACTGTTTTGGAGTGGCTGCTGGAGGGAAGGGAGACAGTGTTATTTATCTCCTGGATCCAGCACAGTGTGCCCCGTGGGAGGAGAAAATCAGTCCCTCAGGAGCTTTTGTGAACAGGAACAGCTTTGGTGGCTGCCCTGGGCTGGCTGGCACCTGGCAGTGTGGGCAGCACACCCCAGGCTGCTGCTCCTGGCCAGTGTGGAATGCCACTGTGTGGACTTCATCTCACTGCCTGCTGAGCTGTCCTGGGCTGGATTTTGGAGTTTCAGCTCCCCCCTGTGCCCTGAGCAGTGACATCTTGTAGGTTTATTTCTCTGGTTCTCTAGGCACCATTTGAGGTTGTGGTTGTTTTTTTTTTTTAAAGAGCCAAGCAGCTACTAATTGCTATAAAGTTGTTTATTGCAAAGGCACATCAGTCTCGAAGTAAAAGAGTCACAAGCATTAAAATCCATGCTAAAGCTTTGGTATAGAGTCCCAAATAGAAGCTGAAGCTGCTCCTGAAGGTCCTGGCAGGGCTGATGTTGTTGTGGCAGCTCCTGTCTTCTTTGGGTCATGATGATGGTGGTGAGGAGAGCAGGAACAAAAGGAAAAATCAAAAGGCAAAATGCCAATCTCTCCCCAATGCATGGATTCTTATATACAAACTTCCCAACAAGATAAAAACACAAACTCAAAACCATTTCTTCTTAACCTATTAGAATTCTAGTTCCTTGGCACGCCAGGTTATGTATAAACTACACATATGGTCTGTCTTGTTCTGTCTAAAAAATGTAAGCAATATTCTTACTACAGTTTTATTATGTCTAAAATTATATTTATGGAGCCTCCACAGAAACACCAGTATCTAGGACTATGATTTTAACTTTCACTAGAACTCTCATTTCTACACTGGGATCTGAGACCTTTACTCTCTAAAAGCACTTAAAACTTATTTTTACTTACTTGCTTGTTATTCTAAAACTTACACCTCTGCTTTATGTGTGAGTGGCTTAACATGCTTCAATCTATCCAAAGGTTTTAATTCAATCCCTGCATTCTGATTTGTCCCTGAAGAATTCAGAGAGACTCTGACACCAACTCCTGCCCTGGGCTCTGCTGCCAAGGAACCTCAGCTTTGTGCCACACAAGGTGTGCCAGGGGTTTTGGAGGCTGCACTTCAGGTAACCCATGGATTTTCCTCCTCAGCATTTATCAGTCCCAGCTCCATCCAGGTGTCTTTGCAGAGGGGCACAGGTTTGGTTCCTTTGCTCTCTGCCCACAAGGATTCTCCCAGTTTTCTTTCCTGCCTCATTTCCTGACCCATCAAAGCAGGGCTGGAGTTTCTGCCCTGCTGCCCTTGGAAGTGGCCAAGCTCTGAGCCTCGAGCTGCTGCGTGGGGTTTGTCCTGTTGTCACTGAAAATGGAGAATTAAACTAACACTGTCATTTCAATATTAGAAAGTGGCATTGCTTTATTTCAGCCCCAGGCATGTGAGGCATAACTCTTTATTACCTTGCTAACAGACCAGCTTAAATCTATGTAATTTTTACATATTCAATACATTCCTCCATATCGATATGCTAAACACTCCTTGAATTTTCTGCATATTTAAATCGCTTCTCAGAGTTTATTTTCATTGGCATAGGGTTCTTTTGAAGGTCTTGGGTGGTCGTTTGGAGAACATCTCATTCCTCCAATTATCCTTTTTTTGATCACAGGCCTCCAAAAACATTTCTTCTCTTTGAATGCATCCCATTGCTGTGGGGATATTAGTTATCAGCAGCATTGCTCAGGCTCACAAAGTCTTTAAGGCTGAGATAAGTGTGAAAAACGAGCTTTTGGTTTCCTGATAGATTTTTAAAAGTTTAATAGAAGACAGTAAGAGACAATAAAGCAAAAGGTTACAATGGCTGGGTGCTTGGCGTTCTGCCAAGAGCACACCTTAACTCAGAGAACGCTTATTTAAATGCATCAACCTGTTGCATATTCATAGACCTTTCATGCATAATTCAAAATCACACCCTCCCCAACCTGTAAATTAACATTTTTACTTTTTTTTTTTTTTTTCTTGTGGCTCCTTCTTGTCAGTGCGCTCCCTGATAACAGAGATCAATAAATCCTTTCCCTGGAGTTCTGGGGTTCATCACCCCTGTCTTCATCGAGAGACAATAAACCAAAAATGTGAAGAATTTCCTGATTAACTTTTTACCATTTCCTGAGTTAGTTACATGAACAAAAGCTTTTTACATCACCATATTACAGTCCAAGAAATAGATTTATCACACTCCTAAGTTTTATTAATAGCAGAACTAAAGGAAACTCTATTCATTCAGCAAAGTTTTCCAACATTACACATACACCATTCATTTTAATATCTGTAAAAAGCCAATAATATCATATGTACTTATAACCACAGGACAAAGCCCTGTCGGGTAAACCGAAAGTAATTCCAAAGACTTAAACACGACTTGTTACAATTTTTTTTTCTACGACTTACTACATTTTTTTTTCTCAACATCGCTGTTACAAGTACATAACATGTTGTTGGCTTTTTGCAAATATTAGGATAAATGCTATATGTATAATGGTAAAATAGCTTTTCTGTACGAATATAGGCTTTTTTTTTTTCTAATGGCAAAAGTTTGACATAAGTTTTTTTTTTTTTTAATAGTATGCTTAAACTACCCGATTAATTGAAATAACAGCCCGTGAACGTGTGATGAAAACCCTGCAGCTGACACAACAATTATCAACATTCACCGGCTACAAAAGGCCGGGGCCACCACCCAAATTAAAAGGCGATAAGAAAAAAATTAAAACCACAAGCCAATAAACACGCATGCTCTAAAAAGGCGGACCCAAGCAGTGGCCGTGCTAAACAATTCCCAACAAAAGTTTAACTATGCATTAAAAAGCTATAAATATGCAACGAGTTGATGTATTGTGAAACTTATTTAAAGGGGTGTTTTCAAAGCAGCCGAGTGCTCTTGGAGCATGCCAAGCACCCGGCAGTTTTAACCCTTTGCTTTATGTTTGTTATAAATGAGAGACAAAAGTCTCGATATTCAGTAAAATTTTGGATTGCTTTATTTGATATAGAAAGAGCAAACAGAGCTGGGGAACCTGAGGGGTCACCGCCCACTCCACGCTCCACCCAACCTCGGTTTGCAGCCTCTTCTTATACTGTGGGTTCTCGGTGTAATCAATAATTTTTTGGGTTTTTGTTGTCATAAGCAGTGGTGGTTGAATAAACATCCTTACACAAATTCACAAAGCCTTTGGGTGATAATCAGTCACAGCCATCTGGGCCTTGTAGGTGACCACCAGAGAAGTTCTGGGAGTCTGGTTTTTGGGATAGGCAGCATTGATCAGACAAAGGCAGGAAGGGCTTTTTGGGAAGTTCGATTTTGCAAGCTGGTAGCCGATACAACTTATTTGAAAAACATAACATAATATAATATTACATAATACAACATAATATAGCATAACAAGGTGATTTTAAACAGAATGATTTTATCATATAATTTCCTTTATCCAATGTCCATGCTTCACTTCAGAGCTTAGTATTCTGGTTTATACAAACCCCAATGCTTTTGTGATTAACACGAATCTTTTCTCAATTATCGCGTTTGTCTCCTATTGTCTTTTGATTAAACCTTTTAAATTTGATCAAGACACAGCCCACGTGGCACCCGGAAGGAGGAAGCTGGCGAAAGGGGAGGGATGAGCCTGCCTTCGAAGGGGAGGAGGCAGCAACTTTTAGCTGGGACAAAATTAATTCTTCGTCACCGCCTCGTTTGGTTTCGTTTCCCGACAAACCCTGCCTTGTGAGCTGTGCCCCGGATGAGCTCTCTATGGCGGGGCTGAGGGAAGAGCTGAGCTGTCCCGTGTGCCTGGACATTTACAGGGATCCCACATCGCTGAGCTGCGGGCACAGTTTCTGCAGGGATTGCATTCGCCAGGCGCTGCGGAGCCAGAGCAGCCCTGCCCGCTGCCCGCTCTGCCAATCTCCCGGCGTGGAACTGCAGCCCAACTTCCACCTCCGCAACATCGTGCACAAATTTATGGATTCTCCTGAATACCAGCAGGGGGAAAAGCAGGAAGGGCAATGCAAGGAGAAGGAGGAAAACTCGGGCCGGCAAAAGAAGGTGGTGCTGTGTGATTTCTGCCTCCAGGAGCCCCAGCCCGCAGTGAAGACGTGCCTGGGCTGCGAAGCCTCGCTGTGCCAAGCCCACCTGAGCAAACACAACAGCAGCAATGCCCAGAAGAGCCATGTGCTGGTGGAGCCCTGCGATGGGCAGGCTTTGGCTGAGAGGAGATGCCCCGTGCACGGCAAACTGCTGGAGTGTTTTTGTGTGACGGACATGGTGTGCATCTGCATCCTGTGCTCCGTCCTGTCCCACAAGGACCACAAGATCGTCAGTTTGGAGGAGGCTTTCAAAGAAGGCCAGGTAAGAGGCTGCTGGGACAGAGGGGTTGTCTTGGGGTGACTTTATGGTGCTTGTATCTATTCGTGTTGAATATTGGGTTCTGCAGCTTTAAGTTCCAGGAGTGAAGGGAAAGAGGTGCAGAGTTTGTTACCAAAGACTGGACTTAGTCCCCCACACCCTTCACACAGATCGTACTGTGTGCAGTGGACAGTGTGATAAATGTGATTCGTGCTAATTAAGTTGTAACTATATTAACAAAATTGTATTTAGATCAATAGAAGACAATTGTTACAGAGTGAGAAGGGGGAGATGGGTGAGACAGGATAAAAGACATCTTACAGATGTTGGGAGTCGAAGAAGGAGGTTAGAAGAAAATCAGATAAGAAGAGTCGAAGGACGAAGGTCTGATAAGCGGCATCTAGAAATACAGCTTCAACCTTGAAGCTGTCAAAAATGGAATGATCACAAGCATGGGACTTAATTAAAATCATGTTATGGAAAACATCTGCTCAGTCACACAGTGCGCCTGCGCTACCTGCGGGTCACACCTCGGTCACTGATGATGATGATGAGCCTTCACCTGAAATAAGACCCTTAAAAGGATAAGAGACCCCCAACCCATTAGTAGAGCATGCGCCGTGCAGTATAGTTACGTAGATCTTACGAATAGAAACTAGGAGGAGCTTTCTAGAAACTTCTGTA